TGGCTCCACATAGAAGCGCCGGCGCGTTTAATAGGATGGCGCTACTATCCGGGGCGATATGGTACTATAGTTGCAATAGACAATTTAGTCAGTTACACATGCGACTAAAGTTAGCTTGGTGAACTACTACAATACCTCCCTGCAAGCGACAGGTTATAATAATGCCAACTCCATTAGCCACCAGTGTTGTCGCTGCCTGCGAGTGTTTTGGTCCTCATGCTTCTGTATGGTAGCACATGGGGAAAGAATTGAAAAAAAGTGGAGTTAGGAGTGATTGTGGCTGGGCGGCATACAAATGCAGCAATGTCGTCGGCGGCAAGCCAGTCAGGGCGAGCGAAGGAATGGTGTGGTGCGATAAGGGAAGAGCGGCAGGGCGTCAGGGTGCACCTCCCTCAACACCAGCACTGTGCTGCTGCTGGCCAGGGCACTCAGATCCTGATAGGGTGGGGTAGGAAGGTGAAAAATGGGAAGGTTTGGGGAGGAGGGGGGAGCAGAGGAGGGAGGGGGGGGGGAGGAGGAGGGGGGAGGGGAGCAGCGTGCGTTGGATGAGGGCAATTTCCCAGAGAGTCAAGGGAAGAGTGGCAGGGCATCTGGATGCACCTCCCTGAACACCAGCACCATGCCGCTGCTGGCGAGGGCACAGTCATCCTGAGAGTTTTTGGGCGGGGAAGGGGAGAGATGATGGTGGGGCGGGAACTGTTTGTTGGAGGAGGAAATGGTCGGGGGAGGGAGGGGACGATCGGAAGGGCATAAGACTGCACCTCTCTCAACAGCAGTATCGTGCTGCTGCTAACCGGCACACTTAGATCTTGAGTGGGTTCGGGGGAAGGAAGAGGATGAAGGAGGGTTGTGGAGGGAAGGGGGGAAGGAAGTGGATGCATGTGGAGGAGCGGGGCACGGAATCAGGTGGTGACGGGGGGCGTGGGAGAGGTGTGCAAGCGGGGGAAACAAGAGGTCTGTTGAATTTGGGAATGGTGTGGGGGGGGGGACACACGTTCCGGCACAATAGCATTGTGCAACTGCTCTGCTGGCGAGCGCACTCACATCCCGTGAGATTGCGGGACAGAAGCAGATGGGAGTGAGGGATAGACTACGGTGATGCGCTAGTTGAGGGAATGGAGCACTTTGAAGCGCTTCAAAAGGGAACGGTGCAGGGGTGTGAATGGCGTCCGTGTGTTATGCTAGTCTTGGCTCGGAGGATCTAAAGAGGCAACGAGGAAGCCAGCACACCATCACGCCATCACACCCAAGGCACTGCTATGGAACCTGGTGTCTGCGATGCCCTTCACCACACTCTAACTAAGCAATTCTTCTCACTGTCCCCCGCCATACTACACCTCAATACACCACACATCATCACACCACACCGAACCGAATCTTACCTGGCTCGCTATACTGCTGTGATCGAGATTCGATGAGAGGGAGGTGGAGTGGTGGTTGTGGAGGAGGAAGACGCGGATGAAGCGGAAGAGGAGGAGGAGGAGGAGGAGGAGGAGGAGGAGGAGGAGGAGGAGGAGGAGGAGGAGGAGGAGGAGGAGGAGGAGGAGGAGGAGGAGTTGTGGGTTTGAGGGTTAGTGGAGACGAGGTTAACAGCAAGCCGCTGGTAAGGGCACACTTGATATGTGACGGTTCGAATGGTCTGGGGAGACGAGTGCGGGAGGGTAGGGGAAGGAAGGGAGGGGAGGAAGGAGTGGGGAGGTGGGAGGAGGGGGGAGGGAGTAAAGGAAGTGAGAACACGTGGGGGAATATGGATATGGATATGGGGGGGGAAGGCGGGTGGTGGGTGGGGGGATATGGAGGTGGATATGGGGGGGGGGAGGAGGGTGGTGTGTGGGGGGATATGGAGGTGTATATGTGGGGGGGGGGGGGAGGGGTTGGTGGTGTGTGGGGGTATATGGATGTGGATATGGGGGGGAAAGGAGGGTGGTGTGTGGGGGGGTATGGAGGTGTATATGGGTGGGGGGGGGGGGGGGGGGGGGGGGCGGGTGGTGTTTGGGGGGATATGGAGGTGGATATGAAGGGGGAAGGAGGGTGGTGTGTGGGGGGATATGAAGGTTCTCATCTCCCCCCCCCATTCCCCTCCTGTCCCCTGCCCATCAATCATTCTTTCACCATGACACCATCCCCCCCTCAGCTGTCTATCCCCCTCTGCCCCTCACATCTGTATGCACTCACTGTGACTGGAAGGAGCGAAGGCGTATGGGGGAGTTGCTACACACGATGGTCTCAATGGTGACGTGGGTAGGCGCTGGCGATAAGGACAAACACTGTTCGATTGGGGTGGCGGAAGCGACGACGGGAGGCGAGGGCCTAGAGGAGCAACTGGGGCAACGACACGTGCGCGTGACGAGGCCCAGCGCGTGTGGTATCGGCTTCAGCTAGTGATATACGGAAGAGCGCGAGTGAATGGTTGAGCGCGTGACAAGGGGAGGAGTGCGCGTAACGAGGGGCAGCGCGCGTGACGAGGGGAGGATAGAGCGTAACGAGGGGAAGCGCGCGTGACGAGGGGAGGAGGGCGCGTAACGAGGGAAAGCGGGCGTGACTAGGGGAAATGCGTGTGAAGGAGGGAAGCGCGCGTGACGAGGGGGAATGCTTGTGACGAAGGGAAACGCGCGTGACGAAGGGAAACGCGCATGACAAATGGACGAGCGCGTGACAAAGGGACGAGCGCGTGACAAAGGGGAAACAGAATCCCAGGAAGGCGCGAGTGACGAGGGCAGGCGCGGCCGGTGAGGGGGAGCGCAGGTCGCGAAGCGCGATAAACGTGGGCTCGTTGGCGAACCACTCCTTTGTGACACACGTTCCGTGTGATTAACGCGACACGGTAAAAAAATACCGTGTGCGACAGCGAACTTGAGCTGCCTGCTATTGGCGAGACAGCGTGAGTGACGTGGGTTGCCGTAATAAATGTCGTTTGGGGAACTAGCTGTTGCCGCTTTGGCTAGCGCTTTCTACTTAGGGCGCGTCAATTCGCGCGACATTCAAAATTTGGGAAATCCGTCGGGCCGGTTTGGCGACAGAAACCAATATGCGATGCTCGCATGATAATTGGCGATTATCGCAATTTTAGCGAATTTGATGGCCGATTTCATGGCCGTTTTAATTAGACGACTCGGAAACGACGCCGAGTCGACTGCAAACCGGCCACGATTCCGACGGGTCTGTGCGACAGAGATCTGGCACGTCGCACTCGGTTACTAGCGACTGAACGTGAGACACGTGTACGGAGTTCATGTGTGCGATAGAGTCGTACGAACCCGGCCAGTTGGGCGACTGCACATTTTACAGTTTCGGTATTGCGGCCTGCAAATCGGCCAGCAAACCTGTCAAATTTGCAGTTGTTGCAAAAGCAGGCCGACTCCGTGTCGTCATGAAGTCGACCATTTGGGTGTTTTCGCGAAAGAAATGTCGACCAAAATGGTCGACGAAAAAGTGGCCAAAAGCCAATTTTGCAAGTGTGTGGGGAAATGATGCGCCCTTACGCGAGGGAGTTGGCTGTTCAAGATATGTGAGAGGTAATCAATGATCCAACTTGAGCGACGAGCGCCTCAGTTTTGCGACTGGACACAATCCAATCAGGAGAGGTTGTCGCTAGGCATTGTCCCAGAGTCGTGAGAGTTCTCTTAAACAAAGTAGGGTAACCCTATTTTGGCGATTTCAAGTTCAAGAATCTTGAACTTGAAAATTATCATGCTGTACACGGGATTTAAAGCATCTTGCGTTAGCTGGTTCGGCCTATAATCTGGCCCCAAACCATTCCCGAGCCGCCCTCACACCACTCGCCACTCATCCATGCTCTATCTACCAGACGTCCAGGCCTAGTTGGGGTTTCCCCTATAAAATCCCCTCACCTTCATTGTATCGTCAGTCTGTTTGAGTAGAGTCTCGTTATTCACTAATTCCGTGCACTCTGTTAGCTCATTCATAACACTACGTATGTCCGTGCCCCTTTCTCTTCTTGAACCACCCCTTTGCGCGTTCGAGTTTCACCAAGTCAAACGGTTCTATCAACCTGTCGTTTGCCGTTATGGCAGGCGGGGGGAAGGGAACAGTCATTTCACTCGAGGAAAACGAGGTGCTTTTCTGTACCACCTACATATCGTCCTTGGGGCGTGGAACAGTTGCGGAAACCAGTTCGAGAGTTGCGGTTTCAGCGAAAATCAGGTAACGCAATCCAAGACAGTTCTGGAACGTGGATTGCGAAATCGTTCGTTGGGCCTTCACGTGAGATGCGCAACCCATGGGCAATTAGAATGCAGGGTGTTCCGACTCCGAACTTCTGAGACCCCGATGCAGTTCCGTGGCGAATCGGACAAACCACTTTCGCGATTTCGTTAGCCGACTCTACGAACATTGCGCTACGTTGGTAACCACCCTGAGTTGCGCAACTCTGCAACCGGTTTCCGCAACCCGCTGCAAAGGTTCCACGCCCTTATCGCTCCGTGAAAGCGAGCAGGGAGCGGAGTGGAGAGAACCAACAGATTCAGCTCCGCAGTCGTCCGTATATTGCTCCGCGATCCTCAAGCCGCTTGTTCCTTGGATTCTCGGTGGTAGCGCTGTTCCTGAGTGTTTCTCGGTGCAAGCGGATCTGAGCAGGGCTTAGCCTCCAAGGGCAGGCAGCGTTCTTAAAACGAAGGGTTCTAGTGATTGGGTTTGATAAAGAACAGATTCAAGCTCGATACCCATTGCGATGAACCAAAACAGCAGCAGTGAAAACCGCAGTGACAGCCGCAGGAGATTACCTTAATAGTTGACAGCAGCAGTGACAGCCGCAGGGAGGAATATCTGAGTCAACGGAGTTCGCGACATTTGTAGATCCATCCGTTCGATACCGTTTCCTTGAGTTTCTTCTCCTTAGAAACCTTCTAATTCGAAACCTCGGATTCTTCTCGTTAGAAACCTCGGTTCTAGCCATTCATCCACCCATTAGAGCACCTCGCCTCAGCATAGTTCCGAACTTATCTTATACCGAGGATAAAATAGTGCGACATAACTTCGTCATGGCCATCATGGCATTGGCGCGCGAGCGGACAGTCTCCGCGTGTCTTCCCTCCGCGTACCGTCTCTCCTACCTTCTTCTCCGCACCATTCACCGCCATTCTTGCGTCCCCCCGCCTTCCGCCGCTTCCCCTTCCGCCACTCTCCGCCTTCTCGCCTCTCCCTCCCCCTCTCCGCTGCTCCCCCTTCCGCCGTCTGCTCCACCCGCGCGCGCAGCCGTCTGCATTCCTCATTCCGCCCAGCGCTCGCCTGACGCTCCTTCCCAGCTCACTTCCGCCTCGACTTCCGCCATCCCCTCTATTCTAGCCCCGTCTGCTTCCGCGCTCCCCCCGCTACAATCACAACCGCAAGGCATATTTCCATGCCGAACCTGGCCTCAAACCTACCGAGGTTCGGCAGCCTCGGTCCTCTCCTCACCCGTCCGAACCTCCAGCTTCGGCATCAACGCCGCAAGGAGCTTCACCGCAGCAGCGGACGGCGCGGTGGGAAACTCGGGGAGCCACCAGCATAGTCCGGGAATAGTCGGCATGCCGGACGATCGCGAAGCGGCTTTAGACTCGGTAATTAAAGTGTTCGCCGTCGCGAGCAGCCCTAACTACTGGCTCCCGTGGCAGAGCAAACCGCAGCGCGAGGTGACCGGGTCCGGATTCGTAGTATCGGGACGGCGAATCCTCACGAGCGCGCACGTCGTCGCGGACCACACGTTTGTACTCGTTAGAAGGCACGGATCCCCTAAGAAGTTCCTCGCTACAGTGGAGGCCGTGGCGCACGACTGCGACCTGGCGCTGCTGTCTGTGAAGGACCCCGCGAGCGTGGGGAGCGGGGAGGGGGGGATCAACGGCGGGGGGAGCGGGGATGCGCGCGCGGACAGCGAGGAGTTCTGGGAGGGCATGCGCGCACTGGAACTGGGGGACGTGCCGCTGCTGCAGGAGTCGATCGCCGTGGTGGGATACCCACAAGGTGCGTGACTCTGGGAATGAGGTCAACAAGGTCAACGAGGTCAATGCCCACCCACGCACCCCTCCCGCCCCTTCACAAACTCTCTCATGGGGGGACAACATCGGCATTGCAATGGGCGTGGTGCACAGTGCGGCTCACTTGCTGCCCATCCATACTGTTCCCTCACTCACCTCTCCCTTCCTTTCCCAATGCCTTCCCCCACCCACCTTACCACCCCGTGTCAGGGGGGGACAACATCAGCATCACCATGGGCGTGGTATCGAGAGTCGAGCCCACCCAATACGTGCACAGCGCGGCGCACCTGCTGGCCATTCAGATCGACGCCGCTATCAACCCCGGCAACAGCGGTGGCCCCGCCCTCATCATGGCCCCTGCCGCCCCTCCTGCCGCCCCTCCTGCCGCCCCTGCCTCCTCTGATGTGGGAGGGGAAGGAGTAGAAGGGCGGATGGCAGAGGGAGCGGGAGGAGTGGAAGGAGGATGGGGGAGTGGTGGGGAAGCAGGGGGGGGAGGGATGGGGAGAGGGGTGTGGGGGGAGGGGGGGGTAAGGGGGAGCAGGGGGGCGGAGGGGGGGCAGCAGATGGAGTATCGCGTGGCAGGGCTGGCGTTTCAGAACCTGTCAGGAGCAGAGAACATCGGGTGAGTTGCTGTGCTGTAAGAGCAAACCGCTGAGTTGCATTGCATGCGATCACTGGTGCAAAGGTAGGGTAGCCAGCGAGGGGGCCCAGCAGATTGACCATCTGCTACAGCGCTTCTCAGGTTTTTATGCGCGGCCCTTGCAGTGTTATACCCATCTATTTGCCCCATTCTCACCCTCCTCCCCTCCACCCATCCTTTTCAACCCGTCTCTTTTCCAGAACCCTTTCCTTCTCCCGCAAACCCTCGTCCTCCCCTTCCTCTCCCGTTCCCCCTCCCTCCCCCTGCCAAACCACCTGCTCACGCAAGCCAAGGCTACTCCCTCCCTGTCCTGTTCCCCTCCCCATCCTCACGCCTCTCTTGAGCCCATTCCCTCCCATCCCGCCCATCCATTCGTCTGCCACATTCACCTGCATCCTCCATGTTCACTCCGCTGCCCACCCCTAGGCTCCCAGCAGCATCGTCCTTTGCAGGTTCCTCTCCTCCTCTCCCTCCCTCCCCGCCCCCCCCCAGCTACATCGTCCCAGTGCCCATCATCCGTCTCTTCCTAGCAGATGCCGCATTGGGTCACCGCCGCCGCCGCTTCCCAGGCTTCTCTGGGAGCAGGGGCGCACCTCAAGCTTCCCTTCACAACCCGTTCTTTTTACGCAACCCCACCACCCTGCTTCCCCCACCCTCCCCCTCCCCCCCCAGCTATATCGTCCCAGTGCCCATCATCCGTCGTTTCCTAGCAGACGCATCGCTGGGTCACCGCCGCTTCCCGGGCTTTGCCTCGCTGGGCGTGTCCTGCCAGCCGCTCGAGAACTGGCAGCTGCGGGCGCACCTCAAGATGCCACGTGGCGCCACGGGAGTGGTCGTGAACGCGGTGCAGCCGCTGAGCGACTCCAGCCGCTGGCTGCGGAATGATGACGTGCTCACGGCGTTCGATGGGGTTCCCATCGCCAATGACGGGTCAAGTGAGTTCTTGTTGAGCTTATGGTTTGGTCTCTGTCAAAACATGCTACAGCGTGCTCGTTGAGTCGACTCGAGCTGCGGAATGACGACGTGCTCACGGCGTTTGACGGGGTTTGACGGCGTTTGACGAGGTTCCTCCGATAGCCAAGGACGGTTCCAGTAAGTACATGCTACATCCTTGGTGGTTTTTTAGTCTGACTCAAACATGCTACAAAACCCTTAGTGGGTTTTTAGACATATTTTAAACATGCTACTACACACTTGTTTGGTCGACTCAGAAGTCACCTTAACGAAATAATGACGTGCTCATGGCGTTGGACAACCCTCTGATATCTACTGATGGCTCCAGTTAGTTACTGCCCCTCAGCACCTTGCCCCACTTGGACTGTTATGTGCCTTTCAGCTGTTGAAGCTGCCAAGTCTTGAATCCCATCAAGCTGGAGAGTCTTGAATCCCATCAAGCTGGAGAGTCTTGAATCCCATCAAGCTGCAGAGTCATCACCAGTGTCCACTGACGAGCTGACCAAGGGAGCTATGGAGTCTCCCCAATCCCCCTCGTGCTCTCCCTTCTCCCCCTTCACCCCCTCTTCCTCCCCGCCACACCCCACCAGCTCCCCTCCCCCCCTCCTGTCACGCTTCACAAGAGGGAGTGTGACTGTCTCGTGTCTCTGATATGAAACTACGGAAACTTACCTGTCTCCCCCTCTCCACCATTCTCCCCACCTCTCCCTCCCCAGTCACGTTCCGCAAGAGGGAGCATCTGCCCTTCGACTAACTCGTGTCGCTCAAGACATGCAGTTGATATCATCTCTCTCTCATTCCTCCCTTCTCTCCCTTCTCTCCCTCTCTCCCGCCAGTCACGTTCCGCAAGAGGGAGCGCCTCCCCTTTGACTACCTCGTGTCGCTCAAGCCGGTGGGGGAGACCGCCCGCGTGTCGGTGCTGCGGCATGGGCAGCCCATGGACTTCCACATCCGGCTGAATCCGGTGAGGCGCGCAGAGAGAGGATGAAAGGAGCTGCCAGGTAGCTGCATTAGTGGTTGAATTGAATGCTAGAGTGTTGGTGCTGCGGCATGGGCAGCCCATGGACTTCCACATCCGCCTCAACCCGGTGAGGCATGCAGAGCAAACCCACCGAGTTCTGCTGGCTTGACAAGTGCCTGTGAGGCGGTGAGGTAGTGATGCGTGCATGCAGAGCAAGGGCGTCTGTTACCCTAAACTCTAAACCTTCCCATATGCTCTTCCCCCTTTCTCCTCCTTCCCCCCCTTTTCCTCCCCTCTCCCCCCCCTTCCCCCACTTTTCCTCCTCTTCCCCCTCTTTTCCCCCCTTTGCCCCACCTTTCCCCCCCTTCCCCCACTTCTTCGCCCTTCCCCCCCTCTTCCCCCCATCAGGTCCCAGCACTGGTACCAGTGAAGCAATTCGTCATCTCCCCCTCCTACTTCATATTTGCTGGCCTTGTTTTCGTGCCGCCGACCCCGCCCTACCTGCACAAGTGTCTCACCCAATCCGAGCCATGCGTTCCCCCTTCCATATGGCAAACCTATATCACTCTTTCTCTCCCCTCTTCCTTCCCCCCGCCAACCCTTCCCCTCCTCCCCCTCCTCCCCCCACCAGATCCCAGCACTGGTGCCAGCGCAGCAGCTCGACATCTCGCTCTCCTGCTTCATATTCGCGGGCCTCGTGTTCGTTCGTGCCGCTTGCATAGCCCTATCTGCACGAGTGCTCACCCATATCGTGCTTATTCCCTTTCATATGCCCTCCTCCTTTCCCCCCACTTTCCGCACCTTCCCCCACATTTCCCCTTTTCGCCTCCCTTCCCATCCTTTCCCCCCCTTCCCCCTCCTTCCCCCACCAGATCCCAGCACTGGTGCCAGCGCAGCAGTTCGACATCTCGCCCTCCTACTTCATATTTGCTGGTCTCGTATTCGTGCCACTCTCCCAGCCCTACCTGCACGAGTACGGCCCCGACTGGTTTAACAGCAGCCCCCGCCGGCTGTGCGAGCGCGCACTGAGAGACATTCCGTCTAAGCCCAGCCAGCAGATCGTGATCCTCTCACGGGTATGTGAGAGAGGGGAGGGAGGGGGGGGGGGGAGGGGAGGGAGGGAGGGGGAGGGAGGAAGGGAGGGAGGGAGGGAGGAGAGGGTGGGTGTGCGTGTGTGTGTGCGAGCGGGTGTTGAGGGACATTTATGAGGGTGGGTGTGCGTCTGTGTGTGTGCCAGCCAGTGTGTGCCAGCCATCAGACATTCACGAATAAGTTGGAGGAAAAGGCTTGGGGAAGTGCGCTGGCATCTCGGTTCCCTTCTTACTCAACATCCACTCATTCCCTCTATTCCTTCCCCTCTCTCAGCATGCCATGTCCACTCAACTGTCGTTCTTGTCTCATTCGCTGGCCCTGCGCCTGCCCGCACCGCGGCAGGTGCTGGCAGATGAAGTGAACTCATGTCTCGTTCCCATTGCCACTCATCTCCCACTCGTTCCCTCCTCCCCCCCTTCCCATTGCCACTCATCTCCCACTCGTTCCCTCCTCCCCCCCTTCCCATTGCCACTCATCTCCCACTCGTTCCCTCCTCCCCCCCTTCCCATTGCCACTCATCTCCCACTCGTTCCCTCCTCCCCCCCTTCCCATTGCCACTCATCTCCCACTCGTTCCCTCCTCCCCCCCTTCCCATTGCCACTCATCTCCCACTCGTTCCCTCCTCCCCCCCTTCCCATTGCCACTCATCTCCCACTCGTTCCCTCCTCCCCCCCTTCCCCTTGCCACTCATCTCCCACTCGTCCCCTCCTCCCCCCCTTCCCCTTGCCACTCATCCCCCACTCGTCCCCTCCTCCCCCCCTTCCCCTTGCCACTCATCTCCCACTCGTCCCCTCCTCCCCCCCTTCCCATTGCCACTCATCTCCCACTCGTTCCCTCCTCCCCCCCTTCCCATTGCCACTCATCTCCCACTCGTTCCCTCCTCCCCCCCTTCCCATTGCCACTCATTCCCCCATCTCCTGTTCTCTGTCTCATGCCCATTCCCCCTCACCACGGCACGTGCTTGTAGATGAAGTGAACTCGTGTCTCGTTCCCCTTCCCACTCACCCCCCACTCTTTCCCTTCCCTCCCCTCCCTATTCCCTTCCCGCGCATTCCCCCTCACCTCACCACGGCAGGTGCTGGCAGATGAGGTGAACTCGGGTTTCGAGCGGCTGGCGGAATTGCAGGTGAGGAGAGGAGAGGGGGGCTGTGCAAAGGTTTGAAGGGGTCTGGCGGGCTGTGCAAAGGTTTGAAGGGGTCTGGCGGGCTGTGCAAAGGTTTGAACGGGGGGAAGCATTATGCAAGGGGTCTGGCGACCAGATTTGAACCGCAGAGGTGTAGGTGAGGAGGAGGACTTCCAATGAGGAATGACAGGGTAATGGAGAGGATGTGCACATGGGAAGAAGGGATGTGTACATGAAGAGGTTGTTCGCGGCATTTCAGTGGCCTGGAGTGACGAAGGATAAAGGGATTGAGACAGCAGACATGCGAGTTTCCGTGAACAACCATTTCAGTGGCAGCAGCAGCCATGCCACATCAGGGAGCTGAGAGCTCTCAGGTAAGGACGGAGTTGAAATGCGTTTTAGAGAGTTAGGGAAGCAGGATTGCAGAAACCACTGAAATGAGGTTCAGGCAGGAAGGGACCTTTTTGGAATGTGTTTCAGAAGGCGAGTAGAGTGGGCAAAGGGAGAGGAATGGTCGACCGGAGAACTCTGGCGTTACTCTTTTCAAAGGCAAAGGCATCCGCGCTAGCAAAGGCACTCCTGGTCGACCTTTCTTGTCCCCTTCACTAGCTTCAGACATGCTCATGTCGCCCTTTTATTTCTTTCCCCACCAAGTATACCCATCTGTGTTGCTCTCGACCACCCTTTGTTCCCTCCCTCCAGGTCAAGCGAGTCAACGGTAAGGAGGTGACAGCTTGAGGCTTTTCTTTGCGAATCCTAAAAAAAAAATTCCCTTTGTGTTGGTCCCAACCATCCTCTTCCCTCCAGGTCAAGCGAGTCAACGGCAAGGAGGTGGAGAACCTGAGGCAGCTACGGGACGAAGTGCTGCAGTGCACGGACGGCTTTGTCCGATTTGATTTGGACGACGACCGTGTGATTGCTGTCAGCGTCTCTGCTGCCAAGAAGGTAAGAGCACCCCTTGAAGGTAAGAGCACCCCTTGAAGGTAAGAGCACACTCTCAGTGAAGAACACTCCTTGGTTGGTGGGGAAGTGCCAAGCAGCTAACCCTCAAGAAGGTAACAGCTCCCACGGTAAGTATGAGCTGGACAGCTCCCACAGTAAGTATGAGCTGGACAGCTCCCACAGTAAGTATGAGCTGGACAGCTCCCACAGTAAGTATGAGCTGGACAGCTCTGAGCTCGTGAGTCCGAGGAACTGGGTACAGCTTGCTTTAAGGCGAGAGCCAGCTTGTCCCTTGCTCGCTCAAGTCTTTCCTGCCAGATTCAGTTGAAACTCTTGAAACTCTATGTTCTGTGTGCACCCAAACGGTGCCTTTAAACAGTCATTCAAATCCTGCAGTGCTGCTGCAGCGTGCCTCAGCTTCTTCCCATCTCTTCCTCTCTCTCCCACTCGCCTCCTTTTTTTGGTCCTTTCCCCCGTTTCTGCTCTCCCGTCACTGGCTTCCTCTGCATGCTCATGTTGCGCTCTCCCCCATTGCTCTCTTCATCTGCATGCTCTCCCGTCACTGGCTTCCTCTGCATGCTCATGTTGCGCTCTCCCCCATTGCTCTCTTCATCTGCATATTCTTCCACTTCAGGCCAGCGCTCAGATCCTGAGGCGCTACCGAGTGCCGTGTGCTTCCTCCTGGGACCTGCAACAAGGCGACACAGAGAAGGGCGAGGCAGCGGTTCAAGCAGGCGTGTCTTGAACCAGGCCAAGGGCAGGGAAGGGTTCACCTGAACAGGACTGAGGGCAGCAAAGGGTTCAAGCAGGGGCGTCTTGAACCTGACCAAGGGCAGGGAAGGGTTCACCTGAACAGGACCGAGGGCAGTTCAAGCAGGGGCGTCTTGAACCAGGCCAAGGATGGAAAATGTCCATGCAGGGGGGTAATTGCGCAATGAGCACGTTTTCTGAAGAAATCGTGCTCCTGAAATGAGTAGCAAGCAGATAGGAAAATGTAAGTGGATTATTGTGTTCAACAGCTTTGTGGAAGATTGATCAGTATGCTGGTTATGCATGCATCATAAACGCATCCAGGCAGATTTGACTGACTTTCACATGCCCACCACCAGCTCCAGGGCCAAAAAGAGAAGCTACCAGGGCTTAAAACCAGGGTGCACATTCAACGCGGTTCGGCTTGAGATGTTGGGAAGGGGGTTTGGAGAAAAACAGTGATTGGCTCACGAGGGGCGACAAAAAAATGATTCCGCTAGAGCTTCGGGCATTTCGTAGGTGGCGGGAGGGGGTGAAATGGCGGGAGTGGGTGAAACCGAATGGCGGGAGGGATGAAACAGATTGGTGGGAGGGGGGGGAAACGAAATTGCGGGGGAGGGGGGAAACAAAATTGCGGGGGAGGGGGGAAACGAATTTCGACGGGGAGGGGGAAATGAAATTGCGGGGGCGTGGGGAAACGAAATTGCGGGGGAGGGGGGAAACGAATTTCGACTTGAAGGGGTTGAAAGCACACCTCGTAACCCACTCAGTCAAGGGTTAACCTTTGATGCACATTCAGCTGAATGTGCACCCCGGTTTTAAAACACAAGTCTCTGGAGAAGGTCAAAAGTGGCTTCGCCCGGACTTGAACCGGAGACCTTCAGTGTGTTAGACTGACGTGATAACCAACTACACCACGAAACCATGAGTTGACTTGATTAAATTTAAATTTCACTTGATTAAATTTAAATTTCACTTGATCCTTTGACTTGATTAAATTTAAATTTCACAGCATGAAGCTTCCAGAAGCCATGGGTCCCGGTCAGAATTGGTCGTACTCATCCGTCCACGTCATCAGGAGTCGACGTGGCAGTGCTTGCCAGTTCGCTAAGTCTAGGTTCGATTTGTCATCCAGTTCTCTGGAAAATCGCTGACGCAAGTTACTGTCGCAAATCTCGCTGCGTCAACAGAAGCAACTGCTCTCCTGTCCATCTTCCTTCCCATCCCATCCCACATTCAAAATGTGAATATTTTCACAAACAATTCGTTGTTCCTCATTTCTCCAACACCATTTATCGCTCTCCAGCATTCACCAGCCATGGCGTCCCTCTGCGCCTCCCTCGAGGCTGCCTCTCTGGCCAGCAGGTCTCTTTCTGCAGCCGCGCCTCTGTTTTTTAAGAATTCTCAGCCGAATCTGTTTTTTTTTTAGAATTCTTAGCTGAATCTGTTTTTTGAGATTCTAAAAAAACAGACTCTGGCCAGCAGGTCTCTCTCCGCAACCACGTCTTTCCAGCCAAGTCTGGATTTGATGCCTTTACGTTGTGGCTTGTAGTGCCTTCCCTGCCTCGATCCATTGCATTCTCTTTATTCCTCCTTCATTCTCCCTTACTCTCTCCCCCCGTGTCCTTCCTCGTCGCAATCCCCGCAGCGCCACGCTCGCCTCCTCCTCGCGAGCCCTTGTCGCGGCGCGCTCTCCCTGCGTCGCACCGTCGCGCCGTCTATCGCATGTCGTCGCCAAGGCCTCGAGCGACGAGTCGAGCGACGGCAAGGCGACGACTCGCAGGGAGCTGATGCTTCGCTCGTCGTCGGCCGCCATGCTCGCCGCGCTCTTCCACTTCAGGTGGGTGGGGCCTATCTATCAAGGGGTGTGCGCGTGTGTAGGAGGATCGTTGGGTGGGTCGGCATTAGTCACTGACCATAAGGTTGTGATTATGTGCGACGGTAATCACAACGATTGGGATTTGTGATTGTGAACGGCGTGTCTGGCTACGAATGCCGTCGCGATCGGCTTCGCTTGCGGAAGGCGGCAGAAGAAGCATTGCGAGGTCGAATTGAATCGCTGATGGCGATTCTTACCGATCTAATTGTGTGGGATGACGTGGCATGATGTGGCATGGCAAAGCTGGCACTGTTGTGCCGCGGCGAGTTGCATGCACGCACTGTTTGCAAGTCTACACGCATTGTGTGGTCAATTTCGTTTTGCATGGTCGCATTCACGCCATGGAATCATCCTGTGATTCATCGCGTCCCAACTCAACCGCGCCCGTCGCTGCTGGCCGCGAGGCGGCGCGACTTTCAATTGCTGCCTCTTACTGTCATAATCATCGTGCTTTCACCTTTCCCCGCCGTGGCCCCAACCTCGCCCCGCAACCTCTCCTTTTCTCTCCCTTCTCCCACACCTGCCCGCCGCCCCTTCCTCCCCCCGTCCACTCGGCAGCAGCACGCGCCCGCCCCGCTCTCGCTGCTGACACTCTGATATCCTCATGCTCTCCCAACCCTTCCAAGTGTTCTGCCATCGTCCCCATCCCACACCCCCTTCTGCCACACCCACACCCACACTCACACCCACACCAACCCCCACACCCCCTTGCTGCCCTTACAGCGGCACGCGCCCATCCTTCCTGGGCGTGACCCGCGACTCTCCCGCGCTGGCGCTGTGATTATCTTCATGCACCCTCCCATCCCCTCCATACCCGCACCAACCCTCCCATCCCCTCCATACCCGCACCAACCCTCCCATCCCCTCCATACCCGCACCAACCCTCCCATCCCCTCCATACCCGCACCAACCCTCCCATCCCCTCCATACCCGCACCAACCCTCCCATCCCCTCCATACCCGCACCAACCCTCCCATCCCCTCCATACCCGCACCAACCCTCCCATCCCCTCCATACCCGCACCAACCCTCCCATCCCCTCCATACCCGCACCAACCCTCCCATCCCCTCCATACCCGCACCAACCCTCCCATCCCCTCCATACCCGCACCAACCCTCCCATCCCCTCCACACCCGCACCAACCCTCCCCCACCCCGCTGTACCCTCGCCAGCGGCACGCGTCCGTCGTTCCTGGGCGTGGCACGCAACCCGCCCGCGCTGGCAACCTGATTACCTCACTCTCCCACCCCCCCCTTCCTCCTCCCCCCCCCCTCTTCACCCCTCACCCCCTTGCGCCTTGCAGCGGCACGCGCCCGTCGTTTCTGGGCGTGGCCCGCGACCCGCCCGCCTTGGCCCTCTGCCCCGCGTCGCCCAACTGCATCTCCACATCCGAGGAGATCAACGACCCCGGCCATTATGTGCCTCCCTGGTGAGCGCAGCCCAGAGTAGCATACAGTGCAGCCTTGGTGCGCGCATATCAGAGTGCGGTGCCCAACAGAGCCGGGCTGTTCTGTACTGCCCCGCGTCGCCCAACTGCATTTGCACGTCCGAGGAGATTAACGACCCGCGTCACTACGTGCCCCCTGGTGAGCGCACAGACCACTACGTGCCACCTGGTGAGCGCACAGACCACTACGTGCCACCTGGTGAGACCACAGGAGGGAGGAGATAAGCTCCCCCTTCGTACAGAGCAAAGCAATCTGCAGAGTTGCCACTGGCAGTGCCTGTTGGTGCGTGCATCACCTTTTGAAGCGCCTTAGCACTCGTTCTCAGGCCCCCTGGTGAGCCCACTCGTTCTCAGGCCCCCTGGTGAGCCCACTCGTTCTCAGGCCCCCTGGTTGTTGTTTGTTTGATTGTTGCTTGTGCGCCCCGCTGCTCCTCTCTCTTTCCCGCCATCTCCCGTTTTTACCCGTTGTGCTTTCCCGTCGTCTCCTGCCTTCTGCCGTGCCTCTCTCCCGTGCCTCTCTGCCGTGCCTCTCTCCCGTGCCTCACTCTCGTGCCTCTCTGCTGTGCCTCTCTCCCGTGCCTCTCAGGACGTACAACCCCGAGGAGGGGCGCGGCAGGAAGAACCCCGCCTCGCAGGAGCAGGCAATGGAGGAGCTCGTGGCGGTGGTGAGTGGTGGAGAGGAGTGGGTGGAGAGGAGTGGGTGGAGGGATAGTGGGGGTGGTGAGTTCTGGTGGTGGTGGTGACTGGTGGAGAGAGGAGAGGATGGAGGGATGGTGGGGGGGCTGAGTGCTGGAGAGGGGGGATGGAACAGAAGTGGGAACGAAGGGGAAGTGCACGAGGTGTAGAAGAGAAGAGGGAGGGAGGGAGAACCAGCTTGGGAGGGTTTGGGTAGGGGAGGGAGGAAGGTTACCGGGATGGGGGGAATAGGTGGGATAGTGAACGCCAAAGCCAATGAGGAGGAAGGAAAGAAAATGGAGCGGAGTTGGTGACTGCTCCCCATTCGTCCTCACTGCCCCTCGTTTGTGTTCCCCATTCGTCCTCACTGCCCCTCGTTTGTGTTCCCCATTCGTCCTCACTGCCCCTCGTTTGTGTTCCCCATTCGTCCTCACTGCCCCTCGTTTGTGTTCCCCATTCGTCCTCACTGCCCCTCGTTTGTGTTCCCCATTCGTCCTCACTGCCCCTCGTTTGTGTTCCCCATTCGTCCTCACTGCCCCTCGTTTGTGTTCCCCATTCGTCCTCACTGCCCCTCGTTTGTGTTCCCCATTCGTCCTCACTGCCCCTCGTTTGTGTTCCCCATTCGTCCTCACTGCCCCTCGTTTGTGTTCCCCATTCGTCCTCACTGCCCCTCGTTTGTGTTCCCCATTCGTCCTCACTGCCCCTCGTTTGTGTTCCCCATTCGTCCTCACTGCCCCTCGTTTGTGTTCCCCATTCGTCCTCACTGCCCCTCGTTTGTGTTCCCCATTCGTCCTCACTGCCCCTCGTTTGTGTTCCCCATTCGTCCTCACTGCCCCTCGTTTGTGTTCCCCATTCGTCCTCACTGCCCCTCGTTTGTGTTCCCCATTCGTCCTCACTGCCCCTCGTTTGTGTTCCCCATTCGTCCTCACTGCCCCTCGTTTGTGTTCCCCATTCGTCCTCACTGCCCCTCGTTTGTGTTCCCCATTCGTCCTCACTGCCCCTCGTTTGTGTTCCCCATTCGTCCTCACTGCCCCTCGTTTGTGTTCCCCATTCGTCCTCACTGCCCCTCGTTTGTGTTCCCCATTCGTCCTCACTGCCCCTCGTTTGTGTTCCCCATTCGTCCTCACTGCCCCTCGTTTGTGTTCCCCATTCGTCCTCACTGCCCCTCGTTTGTGTTCCCCATTCGTCCTCACTGCCCCTCGTTTGTGTTCCCCATTCGTCCTCACTGCCCCTCGTTTGTGTTCCCCATTCGTCCTCACTGCCCCTCGTTTGTGTTCCCCATTCGTCCTCACTGCCCCTCGTTTGTGTTCCCCATTCGTCCTCACTGCCCCTCGTTTGTGTTCCCCATTCGTCCTCACTGCCCCTCGTTTGTGTTCCCCATTCGTCCTCACTGCCCCTCGTTTGTGTTCCCCATTCGTCCTCACTGCCCCTCGTTTGTGTTCCCCATTCGTCCTCACTGCCCCTCGTTTGTGTTCCCCATTCGTCCTCACTGCCCCTCGTTTGTGTTCCCCATTCGTCCTCACTGCCCCTCGTTTGTGTTCCCCATTCGTCCTCACTGCCCCTCGTTTGTGTTCCCCATTCGTCCTCACTGCCCCTCGTTTGTGTTCCCCATTCGTCCTCACTGCCCCTCGTTTGTGTTCCCCATTCGTCCTCACTGCCCCTCGTTTGTGTTCCCCATTCGTCCTCACTGCCCCTCGTTTGTGTTCCCCATTCGTCCTCACTGCCCCTCGTTTGTGTTCCCCATTCGTCCTCACTGCCCCTCGTTTGTGTTCCCCATTCGTCCTCACTGCCCCTCGTTTGTGTTCCCCATTCGTCCTCACTGCCCCTCGTTTGTGTTCCCCATTCGTCCTCACTGCCCCTCGTTTGTGTTCCCCATTCGTCCTCACTGCCCCTCGTTTGTGTTCCCCATTCGTCCTCACTGCCCCTCGTTTGTGTTCCCCATTCGTCCTCACTGCCCCTCGTTTGTGTTCCCCATTCGTCCTCACTGCCCCTCGTTTGTGTTCCCCATTCGTCCTCACTGCCCCTCGTTTGTGTTCCCCATTCGTCCTCACTGCCCCTCGTTTGTGTTCCCCATTCGTCCTCACTGCCCCTCGTTTGTGTTCCCCATTCGTCCTCACTGCCCCTCGTTTGTGTTCCCCATTCGTCCTCACTGCCCCTCGTTTGTGTTCCCCATTCGTCCTCACTGCCCCTCGTTTGTGTTCCCCATTCGTCCTCACTGCCCCTCGTTTGTGTTCCCCATTCGTCCTCACTGCCCCTCGTTTGTGTTCCCCATTCGTCCTCACTGCCCCTCGTTTGTGTTCCCCATTCGTCCTCACTGCCCCTCGTTTGTGTTCCCCATTCGTCCTCACTGCCCCTCGTTTGTGTTCCCCATTCGTCCTCACTGCCCCTCGTTTGTGTTCCCACTCGTTACTCCCTACTCAACCTGCCTTCCCTTCCCTCCCACCTCGCATCTCTCCCCTCGCATTGCATTTTTCCCGATTCTTCCCGTTTCACGCTCTCGATTACTCTTAGCACTGTAATCAACGCCCATGCACCCGCTGTCCACCCATTCCGTTCTTCTCCATCCCAAAACCCCCCTTTTCCCCAACTCCCCCCCTGCCCCAACACCCTTCCCACCCGCCAGCCACCCCTCCATCCTCCTATTCTTTTCACCCCCCTTGCGCGCCTCCTCGGGTGACGTCCGCCAAGGCTGATGGCTTCACGCTTACCTTCATCACCCGCGTTTTACTCTCCACTCACCCCTGCTTGTTCCTCACCCCTCTCCCCCCCATTTTTCCATCCCCATCCGTGCTCCTTTCAACCTTGCTTTCCCCAGGTGACGGCCACCAAGCCCGATGGCTTCACGCCAACCATCATCACTCGCCGCCCCGACTACCTCTACGTGGAATATGAGAGCCCGCTCATGGGGGTGAGTAAGGCGCGTGGGGGTGAGTCTGAAGTGGCCTTGGATGGCATGTGAACAGGGGTGAGTGCAGGTGCCACCATCATCACTCGCCGCTCTGACTACCTTTACGTGGAATATGAGAGCCCACTCATGGTGGAGAGGAAGGCGCGTGGGGGTGAGTGAGTAAGGCGCGTGGGGGTGAGTGAGTAAGGCGCGTGGGGGTGAGTGAGTAAGGCGCGTGGGGTGAGTGAGTAAGGCGCGTGGGGGTGAGTGAGTAAGGCGCGTGGGGTGAGTGAGTAAGGCGCGTGGGGGTGAGTGAGTAAGGCGCGTGGGGGTGAGTGAGTAAGGCGTGTGGGGGTGAGTGAGTAAGGCGCGTGGGGTGAGTGAGTAAGGCGCGTGGGGGTGAGTGAGTAAGGCGCGTGGGGGTGAGTGAGTAAGGCGCGTGGGGGTGAGTGAGTAAGGCGTGTGGGGGTGAGTGAGTAAGGCGCGTGGGGGTGAGTGAGTAAGGCGCGTGGGGGTGAGTGAGTAAGGCGCGTGGGGGTGAGTGAGTAAGGCGTGTGGGGTGAGTAAGGCGCGTGGGGGTGAGTGAGTAAGGCGCGTGGGGTGAGTGAGTAAGGCGCGTGGGGGTGAGTGAGTAAGGCGCGTGGGGGTGAGTGAGTAAGGCGCGTGGGGGTGAGTGAGTAAGGCGCGTGGGGTGAGTGAGTAAGGCGCGTGGGGGTGAGTGAGTAAGGCGCGTGGGGGTGAGTGAGTAAGGCGCGTGGGGGTGAGTGAGTAAGGCGTGTGGGGGTGAGTGAGTAAGGCGCGTGGGGGTGAGTGAGTAAGGCGCGTGGGGGTGAGTGAGTAAGGCGCGTGGGGGTGAGTGAGTAAGGCGCGTGGGGTGAGTGAGTAAGGCGCATGGGGGTGAGTGAGTAAGGCGCGTGGGGGTGAGTGAGTAAGGCGCGTGGGGTGAGTGAGTAAGGCGCATGGGGGTGAGTGAGTAAGGCGCGTGGGTGCCCTGGATGGGGGTGAGTGCCCTGGATGGGGGTGAGTGCCCTGGATGGGTGCCCTGGATGGGGGTGAGTGCCCTGGATGGGTGCCATGGATGGGTGGCGTTGAACGGGATGTGGATGGTATGAGTGGGATAGTGCATGGGGGTGAGTGGGATAGTGCATGGGGGTGAGTGGGATAGTGCATGGGGGTGAGTGGGATAGTGCATGGGGGTGAGTGGGATAGTGCATGGGAGTGAGTGGGATAGTGCATGGGGGTGAGTGGGATAGTGCATGGGGGTGAGTGGGATAGTGCATGGGGGTGAGTGGGATAGTGCATGGGGGTGAGTGGGATAGTGCATGGGGGTGAGTGGGATAGTGCATGGGGGTGAGTGGGATAGTGCATGGGGGTGAGTGGGATAGTGCATGGGGGTGAGTGGGATAGTGCATGGGGGTGAGTGGGATAGTGCATGTGAAAGGTTGTCTTGTGCCACCAGAGCCACCATCATCACTCGCCGCCCCGACTACCTCTATGTGGAATGAGAGCCCGCTCATGGGGGTTAGTGGCTTTTAATGGCCTTGAATGGCATGTGAATGGCATGTGCATGAGAGGCTCTCATGGGGGTGAGTGCGATGGGGGTGAGTGCGATGGGTGGCATGTGAGGGGTGTGAGTGGGATAATGCGTGGATGACGTGGAGTTCTGGTTCCCCCCGGGCATGGGGAGGGAGGCTCCCCCTCCCTCCCCCCTCTCCTCCTACCCTCCCCCCTCCCCCAGTACGTGGACGACGTGGAGTTCTGGTTCCCCCCGGGCAGCCGATCCCTTGGAGTACCTCAGTGCATCCGGGTCTCACTCGCCTGTCTGCTCTCCTCTTACCCCTACCCCCCTCCCCTACCCCACCCCCACCTCACCCCCCCCCATGACCGTTCCCCCCCCAGTACGTGGATGATCTGGAGTTCTGGTTCCCCCTGGGCAGCTGATCCCTGGTGGAGTATACCAGTGCATCCAGACCTCATCTGTCTTCTCCCTACCCATCCCCCCAACCCCACCGCAACCCTCCCCACTGCCCCTCTCCCACCCCCCAGTACGTGGACGATGTGGAGTTCTGGTTCCCCGCGGGCAGCCACGCCCTGGTGGAGTACAGCAGTGCGTGCCGCTCTCAACTGTGTGCTCACCTCTTCTCCCTACCTTCCCCCCTATTCCGCCCCCCCTGAACCCCCTATTCCGCCCCCCCTGAACCCCCTATTCCGCCCCCCCTGAACCCCCTATTCCGCCCCCCCTGAACCCCCTATTCCGCCCCCCCTGAACCCCCTATTCCGCCCTAAACCCCCTGCTCCCCCCCTCCTCTCCCCCTCCCCCCAGTACGTGGACGACGTGGAGTTCTGGTTCCCCCAGGGCAGCCGATCCCTGGTGGAGTGTTTAAGTTGCTTTCAAGGTCTCTACCTCCCCTCCTACCCTCCCCCTCGACCCCCCTTCCCTCCCCGCGCCAGTATGTGGACGATGTGGAGTTCTGGTTCCCCAAGGGCAGCCGCTCCCTGGTGGAGTACCGCAGTGCGTCCCGCATAGGGGAGAGCGACCTCGATGCCAACCGCAAGCGCATCAAGGTGGGGAAGAGGGGGGGGGGGGGGGGGGGAGGGGTTTGATCGTGGGTGGGTTGTGAATGGGTGGAGTGGGCTGGGTGTTCTGGTTCCCCCCGGGGCAACATGCCCCCTCTCTGGTGGAGTACCACAGTGCGTCCCGGATTGGGGAGAGTGACCTCGACGCCAACCGCAAGCTCATCAAGGTGCGTTGGTGGGGAGAAGGGGTGGGGGGTTTGGTCTTGGGTGGGTGTGTATTGGGTGGATAGGCCAGGGAGTTCTATATTCCCTCTGTGCCGCTCGCTCCCTGGTGGAGTACCACAGTGCGTCGCGGCTGGGGCAGAGCGACCTGGACGCCAACCGCAAGCGCATCAAGGTGATTGTGGAAGGGGGAGGGTGGGGGGGGAGGAGGCTGAGGGAGAGCGACCTCGATGCTAACCGCAAGCGCATCAAGGTGGGGAAGAGAGGGGGGGGGGGGGGGGGGGGAGGGGTTTGATCGTGGGTGGGTTGTGAATGGGTGGAGTGGGCTGGGTGTTCTGGTTCCCCCCGGGGCAACATGCCCCCTCTCTGGTGGAGTACCACAGTGCGTCCCGGATTGGGGAGAGTGACCTCGACGCCAACCGCAAGCTCATCAAGGTGCGTTGGTGGGGAGAAGGGGGAGAAGGGGTGGGGGGTTTGGTCTTGGGTGGGTGTGTATTGGGTGGATAGGCCAGGGAGTTCTATATTCCCTCTGTGCCGCTCGCTCCCTGGTGGAGTACCACAGTGCGTCGCGGCTGGGGCAGAGCGACCTGGACGCCAACCGCAAGCGCATCAAGGTGATTGTGGAAGGGGGAGGGTGGGGGGGGAGGAGGCTGAGGGAGAGCGACCTCGATGCTAACCGCAAGCGCATCAAGGTGAGGGGAAGGGGGCTGGTGGAGGGGGGTGGGAGGGTGTGGGAGGTGATGGGATGGGGCAGGCTTGTAGGAGGTGATTTTTTAGTCGATTCAAAAGTACCGTAGAGCTTTCCGGCTGGGAGAAAGCGACCTGGACGCCAACCGCAAGCGCACCAAGGTGTGTTGGTGGGGAGGAATGGGGGGAGGTGGGTGAGAGGGGTTAATCGTGGGCGGGAGGGGAATTGGTGGGGTTTGGTGGGGGGTCTGGTTCCCCTCCGGGCAACATGCGCCTTCCCTGGTGGAATAGGACGGGAGGTGAATGGGTGGGGTGGGTGGGAGGTGAATGGATGGGGTGGGTGGGAGGTGAATGGATGGGGTGGGTGGGAGGTGAATGGATGGGGTGGGTGGGAGGTGAATGGATGGGGTGGGTGGGAGGTGAATGGGTGGGGTGGGTGGGAGGTGAATGGGTGGGGTGGGTGGGAGGTGAATGGGTGGGGTGGGTGGGAGGTGAATGGGTGGGGTGGGTGGGAGGTGAATGGGTGGGGTGGGTGGGAGGTGAATGGGTGGGGTCGGTGGGAGGTGAATGGGTGGGGTGGGTGGGAGGTGAATGGGTGGGGTGGGTGGGAGGTGAATGGGTGGGATGGGTGGGAGGTGAATGGGTGGGGTGGGTGGGAGGTGAATGGGTGGGGTGGGTGGGAGGTGAATGGGTGGGGTGGGTGGGAGGCGAATGGGTGGGGTGGGTGGGAGGCGAATGGGTGGGGTGGGTGGGAGGTGAATGGGTGGGGTGGGTGGGAGGCGAATGGGTGGGGTGGGTGGGAGGCGAATGGGTGGGGTGGGTGGGAGGTGAATGGGTGGGGTGGGTGGGAGGCGAATGGGTGGGGTGGGTGGGAGGCGAATGGGTGGGGTGGGTGCGCTTGCTCGTGCGTGCTGGCGCTCGCGAGCTGGGGTGTTCGTGCTGGCTTGCGTGCTTGCCGTTTAACGTAAACCTGAGAGACCCAGGTGGAGCATGGGCTTTTTGTTCGAAACGTTCGAATACCTTTTGCAACGCAACGATCTTCTTAACTGTACATCGAACAGGAGGAATGGGAGGGCTTGTCATGCTCCCATGCCTCCCTGTGCACCCTCCTGTTGATTTATCCTTCCATTGTCATTCCATGCATCCCCAATCCCTGAGGTGAATAAAGCCCTGAGCTGCAGAACATGATAAAAGTGGATTTTTTATGTCTCAAAAAATCACTTCTATCTCATGCAACCCCAAGGCATGAGGAGGAGCTACAGAAGTGTGGGTGGCCAGGGTGGACTTCATTGGTCTCAACACTACATCTTATAAGTTAGACCTGTTCTTGCCTCTCAAACCCTCTTCACCTTCCCCACAAGCATCCATTACCATTCTCCCTTCCCGGCTCCTCTCCCATCTCTCACCGCCCCTCTCCCATCTCTCACCGCCCCTCTCCCATCTCTCACCGCCCCTCTCCCATCTCACTGCCCCACTCCCTGCCCATCCCATATCTCACCTGCATCGGCAGGCGCTGTGGGTGGAGCTGCAGAAGTATGGCTGGGCTTCAGTGGGCTACCAAGGGGTGACTCATTCTTGCTTATGTCAAACCCTTCTCTCCTTGATCACCATCAATCATTATCCCTCCTTTGCCACTCTCCCATCCCTCTCCCACATCTCACATGCATTGGCAGGCCCTGTGGGTGGAGCTGCAGAAGTATGGCTGGGCGTCCGTGGGCTACTAGAGTGGGCAGACTGTCTCATTCTTGCCTCTCGAACCCTCCTCCCCCCTCCTTGCCCTCCATCGTCTCTCCCACGCCCCTCTCCCATGTCCTCCCTCTCTCCCATGCCCCTCACTTGCATCGGCAGGCGCTGCGGGTGGAGCTGCAGAAGTATGGCTGGGCTTCCGTGGGCTACTAAGGGGTGACTTGCATGGGGCATTGGGGCTTGCTGCTAAAGTGCGATTGGTAAGCAGGAATGCCGCTGTTTTAGCCCATGGGCTTTCATACGGAACACTAGTACCGTACCATACAAGCCTAAGGCGTATGTAAAAGCCTTTGTGTAAGGTGGATTGATTTCCAATATAGACATTGGGGTGGGGATACTAGGCTGCTTGCAATGCAGCTCGATTCATATTCTAATGCCTCAATCTGAAAAAACCCCAGGACGTAACATATGCATGCTGACCTCTTCCCACTTTTTCTTAGAAACCTACATACCGTAGCACCCCCTACTTCTGGGGATCCAAGTAGGTATTCGGCTGGTGGTAACACATCAGAAATTTTTACTATGCATCAAACAAAGAACAAAATCTAATAAAAACATACCTACCCAACTGGGCTACTCCCCCTGCACATCCTAGTCAAGATTTCCTTCACAAGGTACTTCAGCCTCCACTCCTGCTAATCAACGGTATTGTGCAATACATTTATGCCGTGCTGGATTTGCCCTGTTCGTATAGATTCTGCTTGTTTCGTGAATGTTGTCAAATTGCATTTGTGCTTGCTAGGCTGTCCTGGGGTACACCCAGACCCTCAGATATCAGGTTTTTTACCGTATTCTCCCGGACAAAACACCCCCCCATAATTGTACACCCCCGGGTAGCTTGTGCGGGGTGGGTGTTATGGGGAGCCTCGTTTCTACTATACCCCCCTTTTTTGCTGATTTTCTATAACACCCCCCTTTTCTTACGAATTCGTTATAATAGTCGTTAACGAGTAGCTGCAATATTGAAGAATATCGCGAAAATTTCTCCCTCTTTGAAATTTCGCGGTACATTCACTTACAATCTACCGTCATCGCCCGGATATAAGACATATATGTCTTATCTCGTACACTGGCAAAAATGCTTGAGTTATCTTGTAAACGGGATGGTTTAGGGTGTCTTATAAGTCTTATAAATGGAAACTTTTTAAACTACTTGGAAATATTTTCGTACTTCTTTAAAAAGAGTTTCTCATAATGCGTGTGGATGTTGCGAAGGTGCCACTTCGACAACCTCTGCCCGAGACGCCACGTTATGGAGAACACCTGCAGGGGCAAATTTGGTAGGTCCTGGGTCAGCGCGTGGAAGAATTCGCGCTTCGCAAGGGTAAAAAAGTACGCGGTACTTCAACTTTCGCTATAATTTATTGAAGTTTCGATTATAAGACATATATGTCTTATCTCATACACACAAATAGGTGTCTTATAATGAGGCTAGCCTGTTTATAAGAGACACCCGTATAGTAGACAACCCCTGTCTACTATTCAACACTGTCTTATATCCGGGTGATGACGGTACCGAGATTTCCCCCCTCGCACTACTTCGCTGTGACCACGTGCAGGCGAATCTTCCGCTGCAAGTGGCAAGAGAGGTGCCACATGGCATTTTCGTGGGGGTGATGAAGCTCGTGGCCGAAACCCACATTCGCGCCTCAGACAGTGATGTTAAAATGAAAATCAAAACACCCACATTGTCTAATTAAATAAACACTAACACTAAAATATACCATATGTAAAGACCCGGGTATTATGTATTTTTTTCCTATGAGGAGACCCCCCCCATTTTTTCCCTGTATTTTTAGCTATACCCTAGGGTGCTATGTCCGGGAGAATACGGTACCCTGATTTGACTGATTTTCAGCCTTTTTTTCTGTACCAACCCTGAACTTTCAGCCTTTTTTGTTTTGCAACCCTGAAATTTCAGCCTTTTTTTTGTGGAAGGGGACTGATTTTTCAGCCTTTTATCGAACGTGTACACTGAATGCAGATTCCACATCCTTCCTGTAAAACACCCGAGATTATCGGGACTCCAACATTTCGTATCAAACGCGTACATATGACAAAAAAAACATTTGCCTTCGACAGCTTGAACTGTCCCAGTCGTTTTGTAATTCCTGCCGATAGGGAAGGCCCCCTGTTCGATTCCATGTATCGTCATGTCTGGTTGGGCCTGAACTTGTACCGTAACCTCTAATATTAATTATATGATTCCGTATTACCCCGGATAGAAGCGCAGGTGCGCTTATAATAAAGCAGTGTTTTTTAGGGGGGTGCGCTTTTAATCGAGTCATTTTTATAAGCGCATGCGCTTGTAACATACCAAATTGAAGCCCGCAATAAGGCGAATTCAACCGACCATGCAACACGTGGGATCGTGCATGGTTTTCAGACAAAAACAGCAGCGGTTCGGTTTCCCACCGCACAGTTTTGTCTAGAACCATCGATCGTGACAGTAGTGACGGGGATGTTGCCGTGCGGCCCAATCACAGTCGCATGCATTGCGTGGCATGTGCATTTCCCCCGAACCCCCTCGAAGGGTGGCGAATATTCCCTGCCAGCGCAGCGATTATGCTGCCACGCAGGGTCCTCTACGGGGGTAGGCGGGGGTTTCCCGCCTGTCATTGACGAGGACCCCGAGGCGCAACCTTACGGGGTCCCCTTCGTTGCCCATTTGTGCACCGTCTCTTTCATTTTTTTCATTCAAGATTACAGTGTAGGCCACCTGGCTGGCGAAGCCATGGCGGAATTCAGCGGGACGCACTTCCTCTTCAAGAACAAGAGAGCTCGCCCATGGCGACTTACCGACGACGGGTGGTATACCCGTGAGCCCGCAGCGCCTCTAGTGCCACTTGAACCCCCAGCGCCCCCTGCTCCTCCTGCTCCTCTTGCACCTCCTGCTCCTCCTGCTCCTCCCGCACCTCCCGCTCCTCCAAATCCGCCTGATATCGGTGCCAGTGCTCACCAACGGCCCGTGCTCCAGCTATATTTACCAGCCGCTTTCGACGAGTGGCTGTCTGAACCCGGACACACCCAAGGCCCCTGATGTGTTCATCCAGGCTCCGCCGCCTGCACCACGGTGGGGACAGCCCGAAGCCTGCACGTGGGACGAGTCGGCTGTGGGCGCCGACGTGCCGCCGATAAACAATACAACGGCGACGTCGACGGTGTCGGCGACGGTGAAGCGGGCGCCGAGGAGGACGTGTTCCCAGATCGTGGTGCAAGTGCCGAGGACGACGACGGTGTGGAGTCATGGTGGCGCGACGCACCACGCGAGAAGATGCCGACACCGACGTATCCGCCGATTAACAAAAAACGACCCCACCCCTCCTCCCAGAACCGAGATGCCCGCCCCCCCTCTCCCAGGCACAAGCCGTCTCAACATAAACGGCAGGCCTACACCTCCCAGGAGAAACTCAGGTGGCTCGTGCGGCTGGAGCTGGCGGCATCGATAAGGGAGGTCGCGCGGGAGTCCGGCATACACCGCAAATGCCTGACGGAGTGGAAAAGCCAAGCATAGGAGCTCAAGGCTTCACACGCCGCACGGTGTCGACTTCATGGTCGCGGGAGGTCTTCTTGGTACAGACCCATGGAGTTAAAGGTGTACGCTCAACTACTCGATTGGCGACGCCGCGGTGTTGCAGTTTCAGTTGGCCGGCTCCAAGAATGGTCACGCGAAGTGATAAAGGTGCTGTTCCCGGAAGTCAAGTGGAAAGGGAGTCAGCGGTGGTCGGAGCGGTTCCGCAAGCGGTGGAACCTCAGCGTGCGCATGAAAACTAAGGTGGCGCAGAAAACGCAGGAGCGTAAGTGCCTTGTTTCCCGCTTACCTCTAGCGAATTCGCATGGTTTATGAGTTGTACTCATCCTTCTTCCTATCTGTCCTTCCCTCCCCGTGCGCAGACGTGGCGACGCAATGCAAAGAATTTTGGCAGTTCGTCCGCGACGCACGCAACGAGTACGCGATCGACAATCGATACATAATCAACGCCGACCAAACGCCTCTTTGGTTGGAGATGCCGGCCACTACCACCGTGGAGCAGACGGGCGTGAAGTCGGTGCCCATCCGCAGCGCTGGTTACCAGAAAGAAAGAGTCGTCGTGATGCTGGCGTGCACAGCGACGGGCGAGAAGTTGAAGCCGAGGGTGTTTTTCAAGCGCAAGACACTCCCTAAGGGTGACTTCCCGAACGGTAAGCACATGTTCTTGTGCGTGTTCTGGACGTTATAAAAAAAAAGGGACTTACCACCGCTTGCTTGTGTCCAGATTTTGTGTACTCGCTATAGAGTACCCCACTGCAGGCTAGAGAACAATAACATTCTGACACACCCCCATAGTCAAAGTGGGGTATAATCAGCAGAGCAAGTAGTCCCAGAGCAGGTTCACATGCACAAGTAAAGCTAGGGGCAGTCGCAGAGGGCAAGTGAGGAGGAGGAGGAACTGTGGAAGGAGAGAAGATGGGAGGCAACGACTGAAGCTGCAGAGGCACGGGCACAGGAGCGGCTGACTCAGTGGCTACCGAAGCAAGGGCGACGGACTACTGGAGTAACTGGCTCCGCGGCTATAGACGAGCGGCAGGAACAACGGACCCACTGGCGACTGGTGCAACAGGCTCACTGGCTACCGAAGCAAGGGCGACGGACTACAGGCGCTGCAGGCGACACGACCGCTACCTCCACACAACCTCCTCCAACTGCCCCACACCCTCGACACACACCCCCTGCTGAACCCCTAACTCCACTCCTACAGCACCCCCCTTAAACCCTAAACCCTAGGCTCCCACACACCCACCCCCCTCAGCGGCAGCTGCAGCAGTGGGAGACCAGGGAGGAGGAGGAGCAAGGGGAGTAACACACAACCGCCACCCCCACACTCCTCACCCCCAAACCCTAATTCAGGAGAACGGGCAGCAGTAGGGGTGGGGCACCGTCAGAAGCACGGGGGACAGCGAGCAGCTCAGGGACAGAGAGGAACGGGCCGCCCACGGGCCTGGCACAGCCCGACGAACCGCGCGCAGGCGGCCCGAGCCGCGCGCGGGCCTGGCGCAGCCCGTACGGGCCGCGCGCGGGCCTGGCGCAGCCCGTACGGGCCGCGCGCGGGCCTGGCGCAGCCCGTACGGGCCGCGCGCGGGCCGGGCGCAGCCCGTACGCGCCGCGCTCGGGG